AAAAGAAAAGAGTGGGAGGACAAACCAATGTTTTTTTTTCCTTTCTTTTTTTTTGCAGGGCATTTACTGAGCACAGCAGAGGTTGAATCGGCACTTGTGGAACATGCTTCTATCTCGGAGGCAGCCGTAGTTAGCCACCCACACCCTGTAAAGGGAGAATGCCTCTACTGTTTTGTGACTCTGAAGGATGGACATGATTTCACAAACAAACTGATTGATGAGCTGAGGAAACAAGGTAATTGTATTGGTTGAAGTCAGAGAAGCACGTTGAAAGTTGTGCATCAATCCAAATAGATATATCTATAGACATATAAAAAACAAATAGATTGTGGCAAATAGGACACAAGGATCCTGAATGTAAGAAGCAGAAATGAGCAATTTGTGGTTCTCCAGATCTTGCAGAACTTAATTTGCAACAGCCCCAGTTAAAATGGGGTTAGTAATGGGGAAGGTCGGAATTTATATTCTATGGGAAGGCTTTGGTATGCCCACCTCTGTATTCAAGTTTGAGCGCAATCTTGTTAGATTACTAGTGGTTAAACATAATTGTCTCAAATCTAGCAATTCCAGATTTTTCAGGGCTGTAGATTCTAGCCAACATGGCCAAATTAGGGGGTTGGCCAGAATTCTGGACCCCAAGCTTGAAAAATCTGTACCAATTTATTAAAAGACGACAGGAATACCACATGGGATATGTAAATTGTGCAGTCTGATATTTTGTGGAATCAAATGCCTTCTTCCCCATTAGTGGAGATGATATAGCATCAACATGTATAGCAAAAGGAAAGTCCTGTGATGGATGTAGTAGTCTCTATCCTATGGTAACCCATGAGCTTTGTTGTGGCTTTTCTGGCAAAAATCCATGTCTATCAGCATGCCTTGTTCCTCAGCCTGATTTGAAAGTGTTTTTCAAATCAAAAGGAAACCTTTTGGTTCTGTCAAAACTAAATTTAGTCCTTGCCTTTCATTTGTTCTTGCTGCCAGCTGGCAACCACTTTCAGTACTTAAGAGCACACTGTACACCCATGAACACAGTGGGAATTCTGCAAAAGTGTGTACATAGTGACTCTCCAATTGTCAACAAGTAAAGAATGCATTGGCATACTTTATGTTTATCTGGTCCAGGCCTTTTACATAATTTTGCTATTTCTTAATATGCAGAGAGAAATAATTGCTAGCATTTCTTTTTCCTACAACAGCCTTTTGGGGATAAGTAACTACTGAGTAGTCCCTTTCCAGTTAAAAATAAATTCTGAAAAATCCTTGTGCCTTTTGAAAGCATTTTAATGGGGGAGATGTTCCTAGGAAATACATTTGCTTTTCGATTTTTAAAATTTTTAATCTTGCATTTGTAACTGCAAGAGCTTGTGAGAGTGGGAGTACCAAGATCATTCTGTTAGTTCATAGAGGAAGAGTCTTGGCCAGGACTCCAGGAGGACTGTCGCTGGATGTTAACACCTCCACCTCCCAATTTCTATACAACACAGAGATTCCATAACATGCATTATTATAGTTGTAGTAGGAGCAAATATGCGTAACTCAGAGATGGCACGTTGCCTTGCTTGAGTTTTTTGAACTTGTTTTTTGGGTTATAGACATGTAATTCTAATATTTAAGGGGCTGCCACAAAGAAGCAAGGCAACATGCCATCTTAGGTTACATATATTTGTTCCCATTACAACTACAACAACATATGTTATGGAATCTCTATGTGTTGTATAGAAGAACATGTATCATCCTCTAGTGCAGAGGTCTCCAACCTTAGCAATTTTAAGACCTGCAAAGCTGGCTGAGGAATTCTGGGATTTGAAGTCCACAAGTCTTAAAGTTTCCAAGGTTGGAGACCCCTGCTCTAGTGGCAGATTGCAATTCTGAGACTGAACATATTTAAATAGAGACAAGACCCCAATTATCAGCCATCTCATAGAAGAGGTCAAATGACTTTTCTGAACTTTTTAAAAAATATGCTCAGGGTTTTTTTTGTTCACAGGAGCTAAAAGAGTTTTCTTATTTGCAGTCAGAGAAAAGATTGGTCCTATTGCAACTCCAGATTATATCCAGAATGCTCCTGGCCTGCCCAAAACCCGCTCAGGTATGTTTTGATTTTGATACCTGTTACTATGTTGCAGGCTTTTGCTACTTACTAAATGCTATATTTGTTGTGCTTCTAGGAATCAGTGTGATAATTTAAGTCTTTAGAAATTAATTGGCAACTAATCTGTAAGTATACAGCTTGTAAATTAGACAGTCATTTTATTTGCATACATACACACTGAACTAAAGACACATGTATTGCAAGCTTTGTGTAGGTGTGTATATCCATTATAGGATAAGGCCAGTAATTATTCTTTTGGCAAAACATATTTGTACAACAAGGCCCAGAAAAATTCAAACATTGGTATTTCAGTTTATAATCTCATTATTTTAAGATCCAGGGTCCCTGGGAGTATCCATTGTGTCAGATTTGATTTGTGAGTGTATTTTAATTGTCTAGAATCCTACACTTTGTACAGATGCATAAATCTTACAGTTTTACAAATCATTTGACTTCGGCTTCTTTGCATGACAGATTTAGAGGGCCACATAAATTATTATCTGTACAGGATTAATAATCAATTCCCTCATTTCTTTCTCATAATCAAGGTCAACTTAAATACTGTACTTTCTTTGTAGGTAAAATTATGCGGCGGGTATTAAGGAAAATTGCAAAAAATGACCGGGAACTGGGCGATACCTCTACAGTGGCAGATCCAGCAGTTATAAACCATCTTTTCAGTAACAGGTGTGAGACAATAATGTAGCAGAGCTATCCTACTAAAACAGCAGAAATGCAAGAATTTGATGAGAATATGGCCCCTGAGAGACAATGACTTGAAATGGGAAATTGTTATGTGCTGCTCTGAATATAAGATCCTGAAGAGAAGACAAACTGGTGCTCCAACATCCAATCCTGTCGTGTTGTAAATCTAGCTTTGTGCCTCTAGCACTATGGTATTTTATTGTCCAATACTTCACATATGTCATTTCGGCCTCATTCATCCAATTTCAATTATTTTTATTTTTACATTTAACATGCTATAATTGGTGGAGCTTAGAACATGCAGATATTGGTATGAAGAAGCTTTCCTCCTGAGCTGTAGTTATGAGCCTTTAAAAGGCTTGAGAACTAATAGATTAAGCAGTAATCCTCATGTTGAGGCAGTATTACTGAAATACATATTTTAACAATTTAAGCATTTGTTTTAACAAAATATTTCCGGAGTACCCCAGATGCACAGCATAGGAAATGAGACATTTTAAAGAAAACTGTCAAATATGAAGCTGTGTAAAATTATTTTTCCAGTGTTCTGTTGAAATGTAGACTGGAAAGGATTATTATACTTTTTTGTTCCCCCAAAGGAATATTACCATCTACAGATTCTAATTTTCAATAATGCTTGTGTGCTTGAATGCACACATTTTAATTTTTGCAGTATATTGTTCCATGATGGATGCAACTTCAGCTGTTCTAGTCATTAAAGCTGTGCTGTATGCCTAGATATTCTGCAGAGGGAGGTGTTTTTTTTTTTTTTTGGCTAGAAATATTTGGTGCAATGTCAATGCCGGTTGAATCTGGGGAGAGATAACTATTTTCATTAATGGGGGAGCAACAGATGTTATAAATATTAAAGGAAATCATTGTCTGATCAGCTTGTGTTCCACAATCACATAAAGAAAATGAATATATTCAGAGATTCTGGACTGTTGGAATGGTCTGGTTACACTGAAGAAATGTCTTCCAGGTGTAGATCATGTGCATGACCAAAGTCAAGCTGCTGCTCTTATGAAAGAAAAAAAAAACAGCCACCAAACAGCAGACACGTTTTCTTCAGTTAGATGACTTTATTCATAGTTCATTAATCTTGCTTCTTGAAATTAGAGTGGTTCCCATTGAAAGAGCAAAGGCAAAATCAAGTTTAGTTTTAGATCTGATATGGGTACTTAGGTGAGAAAAATGTGAACTCTTTAATCCTTGCAGATTAATAAATATATACAATGGGAAAGGTTTGTTTCAAAATTTCCAAGGCATTACAGCACATAGTGCTATTCACCTTGAAATGTCTTTGTATTGGAAATTGCTATTTACTATCTGAAATATTTTTTTGCCTGTGATAACTATGTTGTTGCATCCCTGAAGATGTCTGCATTATCCATAGAACAACTTACATCTGTATGCCCCTCATATTGTGTATTTGACTACTGTGACCATTGCTTTATCTTTGCTCATGGGTATATTTTTCATTTTTTAATCTGCTGGTGGTAGTCTTAAGTGTACTTGTGTGTGATCTGCAACATTGATATGCATAATATAACTGTTCTACAGCACCATTAGTAGGCCAGTGGCTTACTAAATGCTGTTGATACAAATTCCTCTTATTTTTGGACACAGAATGATATAAATATGGCTGGGAAAATGGGAAAAATGTTTTAATTGGAATAAATTAAAAAGATAAAACCTACTACACATGTTTTATGTTCCTTGTTTTGAATGATAAACCAGGAGTCTCACCTGTTTTGCTTAACATTTCTGGTATCGTTTCTTCTGTTAGCATTTGTTTATAAATTAGTAAACCTAACGGTTACAGGGTCTACTAAAAAGGCCCCAACATAACTGGTTCTATAAAGTAAGACTTCTATTAAACTCTTTACAGATAGTCCTCAACGTACGACCACAATTGAACCCAATTTTTTTGTGGCTAAGCGAGACAGTTGTTGAGTTTTGTTTCATTTTATGCTTTCTTGCCACAGTTAATTGAATCACTGCAGTTATTAAATTACTAATAGGGTTAAGTAAATCTTGCTTCCCCATTGATTTTGCTTTTCAGAAGGTAGCAAAAGGTGATCACGTCCCCAGCTGTCATGGCTAAATTGCCATGTGTCTGAATTTTGATCACATGACCATGGAGATGCTGGAATGTTTGTAACTGAAAAATGGTCATAAGTTATTTTTTTCAGTGCTCTTGTAAGTTTGAACGATCATTAAACAAACTATTGTGGGTCGAGGACTACCTGTTTTCAAATTGGGACTCATTATCAGGGCTGTACATTGCTTTGGATTCAAAGGCAAACAGGTGATTTGGAGGATGTACCAGCACCTGGCTGCTTCTCCCTAAACGAAGTACATCTTTTTCTAGGAGTGTGCTGCAATTGCAGACATCAACCATGCAATCCCAAGAAGAGGTGGCTGCTTTAAAAAATTGCAAAGCTGTGTTGTGTAAATGTCCCTGTGCCCCGAGGGCATGTTTTTGCCTTTGAATCCAAAGCAATGCATATCCTTGTTGTGGTATCGACCTTTCTTGCAGTCAACTTTTATCAACAAGGTACCCCCTGGTCTTAATCTTAGGAGGAAAAGTGGGGGTGGCAGACACAATTGTCACCGGTTATTTTTCAGAATAATTTCCAATCGATATCAAGTATATTATTTAGAAAATTATTCTACTGATTCTTAATACTTATGTCCTCATATAGCTCCATTAATTCTCTAAGCCTGTCCTCTAAAATGCGTTAAGGCTGTAGTCAAGATATCTATGTGTAAAGTGAGACAGTGCTCTTGAACAACAGAGACATATAGGGATACCATCTTTTTAAAGCAAAGTGATAAAGGTATGAAAGGCTGAAAAGATATTATACCGTCAGTGCTATTACAAGAAGAACATTCAGTTTTCTGCAACAACAAATTCTATTGTTTCACAGCTTTTGGAGATTTAAGAATCTGAGTTTTAAAAAAATAACTATATTAATATATATGTTCCTTAAATTAGTAGATCTGATTTCTAAATATATTACACATTTGCTTTCTTTTTCAAGAAGTATTGACACATTTTTTTGTAATCACCTATCATTTACTCAGACATGAAATAGAACTGATGAGTTTCACTACTATTTTTAGCTCAAATTAGTTCTAGTAAACCTGGCTGCTATAGAAGTTTTGCATGTTAAGAGTTGGTTTTGAAATAATTTCCTACTAAACACATCTTTCACCTTTTTCTTAGGTTTGTTGCTTTATAAAATACAGATGGCTGCAGAGAATCACTGAAACTGAAATTTTTATTATGTCCCTTTATCCAATGCTAGTGTTTGTGCATCTTTTAAAGGAGCTCATCCAAAGCACCATAAAAACCAACATGGATACATGATTCTTATGTGTTCTCAGGTCATTTTTAGGCAGAAACAGAGTGAAACAGGAAGTTTCCCAAAAGACTGTAATTCTGGAAGAATTTCATTCCTTAATGCTACTCTGAGAAAAATGGAATTACATTTTGAATATGTAGAAAGTTATCAAGAATATTTTCTGCTATCAGAAATCCACATGCTCTTTTAGGAGATGCTTATCAACCAGTTGACCATGATTTTTAAAAGCACAGTACGTCCATGACGTGCATCAGAAAATTTCAATGTAGGTAATTTAGAATCCTCTATTTTCTGAGTAGGACTGCAAATTATTAAACAGAATTGTTATAAGTTTGATTATGAAGTCTGCTATTTCGCAATCATGCCTTAAAAAATGTGTCCTTTTTTATATCACATAGGGAGTATCCAAGACAGCTACACCAGCTGCCACTCCACCATCTGCATGTTCCATAGCCTTTGTTCTCAAGAGATGACCCACATGCTTGTTCACCACAAACTTCTGACCATGTCTGCAAGGGAAAAAAGGGGATATATAACATTACTCAACCTTTTATCTATAATCTTGTTAGGGTTCCATTAAGCAAAGCTGCTTGATTCTAAGCAGATCATTTGTCTATATATACTTGCTCAACAATTCTGCAATGGCAAGCCAAAATACTTCACTGTTCTTATAATATCACTGAAAATATTTCAGTTGTAAGCAATGGAATAATTTATTTATTTAAAATATATGGTTGCCTGTATTATGGCACACAATTATGGACAGCTAACAAATGATTAAAAACACAAAATCATTTTAAAAATCTAGAAAAAACAGTCATCCACACCATCATCTACATCACTGATCTATACAGCCCCTTGGTTCCAACTTTATTATCCCAACACAAAGACAGTTCTGGAGTTTTAGAGCAGGAGACTGTTTTTGTAATCCATCAGAAATCTATTATCAATATAGCTTAACAGGTAATACTCAAGCACAGAATATCCAGAACTGTGCTTACTTGTTTTTTTTTCCTATTGTATTTCTATTAGAAGTAGCAGGAAGAGTGCCAGGAGGTGGCAGATAGGATTACTTTCTTCTAAAATTGATTTATTTTACATTCCCCTATTCTGTGGTTTCATTAAACATAGCAAGGTGCCATTTTAAATCAGCTAGTTGTACTGAGGATTGGGCAGATATCCCTAGATGTACATGGTAAGTCTAATGCAACATCTAGTGACTTCTAACACCTAGTTCATCTTTATAGTCAGTAAGTTAAATTGAATTAGATCACCAGTCTATTTAGCTTGGTATTGTCTACTATGAACAATTCTTGAGATGTTAGCATAATACTTTTTTAAGCCACAGCTTCAGATGCTAAAAACTGAAACGTGATTATTTGCATACAAAGTATGCTGTACCAACAAATATTTTATTAAAATACTAAATTAAATTTCAGTTTAAAAATAAACATACATATACACACACATACATACGTGTGTATATGTGTGTTAGGTACTTTGCATATGATTCAGAGTGTCATACATTATCAATAAACAATCCACAATCTATATATGTAAGAACAATATAATGAACAAATAATTTAAAAAAGAACCTAAACATTAAGACATAAAATATCAGGAAAAATTCAACTAACAGAATCATGCTGCTCCTTGACCCATAACTGGGGAAATGATAGATATTTAATACCTTTCAAAGACAGGAAGTCTGGGCCAATGAACCTCAGGGGGCTGTTGTTCCATCCTCACCAGAGAATATGGTCTAAATGATAGGACCTGAGCACACCAACCCTGTATGATCTTACAGAAGAGCTGAAATAATTCAAGATGGACAATTCCACTAATAACCTGGCCCATAGCCATGAAAGGTTTTACAGGTAAGAATCAGTACCTTCAATTACAACTGGAAGCTCACTGCTAAACAGCAATGATAATGATAATCAAGGGTAGCCCCATTTAATGCACATGGTAATAATCCATCTGAGATGCCCAAGGCATGAGGGGTCATAAATAGGTCTGTTTGATCCAGATGCAGATGCAACTAGCAACAAAGTAGAACTCTGCATAGCTGAATCATAGCTGCTACGTGCTCTTCAAGCAAGAACTACAAGTTATAAGGACCCATATATTGTGCACTAGTTCTACTTGAAGAAGTGTGACCTGTCCAGGAAATCTCTGGATCCAGGGAGTTCTACAGTCACTAGGTCTTATGAGGGTAGCTTGTTTTTCCTCATCCAAGTCCCTATGGCCTTCACACAATAGTATCACAAGAAGGTTTGCAGTGGAGATATACAACTGTCATCAACATCTGTGCTGAGGCCCATCCCCTCCCCCAGAAGAATTCTCCATTGCTTCGACCCAATCTCATGCTACCTCCTGGTAGGTCTTACATGAAACAAGAGAGGCATGGATCTAAAATACAGGTGCATGCATTCACAGCACCCAGGACCTGTCCATTTTTTCAAGGCCAACAGGAACAAACACTTCCCAGATAATTATTCCTTATGAACTTAATGTGCAGATTTTATCCAGAATGTTAGCAAAAAAAACTGTTTTGAAAACCTGCAAACAAACAGGAATGTAAAAATTTAGTATCTCTAGGAATTACAGCCAGTTTCTCACCTGATATAGACTCCAAAGATTCCCAATTCAGACACACATTCTGATATTTTCAGTGGACAATGAGCCCTCAATAAGTAATTTAGTGTTGGGAGAGCCTTTATCTTATCCATGAGAATATAAGAAGTCCTCTCAGAACTGTCCTTAATTTTCTCCAGAACTTGTTTGAGCTCATCTCCATAGAGATTATTCCCTGGCAATGCAATGGAAGTTAATATTACACAAAAAGGTGGTAATTTGTATGGTAGGTTCTTGTCCCACCCAGCAATATGAAATAATAGACAAGTGGAAAGGATAAAAAGAGAAACAGTTTCTTATAATTAGCAACATTTACATGGGCAGATTTGCATTTATCCCCAAAACTGTACAGCAGGGCATGTGTATGTGTGATCTGATAAAGAACATTTTTTGTAGGATTTGTGGAAGTTAACTTCATAGTGGAATGTCTTTTTATTGCTTAGTTAATGCTAGATTTGCTGCAGTTTAATAAATGATACTAAGTTCTTCTAGACAGACTGCAGATGAACAATGATTATGGAATAACTAAATTCTTTCAGCATTATAGCAGAATTATCTTTTGGTTAAATCTATCAGCAAACAACATTCTCATCCTGAACATATTTAAACCACTACTGTATAACTCTTAACTTAAATATCTGATGGTATAAGTGGCTAAGTGGTTTTAGAACCATTTATTTTTTATGATTAAAAAGTAAATAATTAGAACTTTCATTATACAAGCCTAGCAAATAATTACCTCCTCCTTCCCTTTGTGGTTTTAACACAAATCGATCTGGGTCAGCAATAGCAATGGCAACCATCTTATCACCCTCTTCATCCTTGAGGAAAAGAAGACTGTTGCAAAGTAGCCAAACCAAGTGCTTAAGCTTTAACAACAAAATTCTAGTACATATTAAACAGACATAATAGCCCTAGACAAAAAACAAGATTCACAATTTACCAAAATATTTTATTAAAGGTATATACTTTATATGTATTATCAATACTGTGCTTTCCAATTTTGTACTGCATTATAACACTGCATATACTAAGTCTACATTTCCCCCAACACATTGCTGCTTACCATTTCCAAAGAGTAGAGACCTGTGAATGTTGCTCTCAATCGAGCCACTGCTTCTGGTTCATTTGGCAAGAATCTTTCCAGGACTCCTGGTCGGCTGAGTTCCTGCTGAACTTTTTTGGTTCCAACCAGCTGTGTAGCTATATCAGGACACTTAACTGCTTTGGACTTTTCCAGTAATAACCGTGCTTCCCAGTTCTTAAAACAAACAAAATAATCTCATTGCAGATGCTTTTGTAACATAATATTTAAGACACTGTACAATTATTGTATGTCCTGCAGCTGAGGAAACTTATATGTTCCTTCTCCACCTTGCATCTGCATCTCCTGCAATAAACTAACAAAATACTTACTCCATGAAAACTGCAGAACAAAAGAAAAATTAGCACATCTCTGCAGAATCTTTTAGTATAAAAACTGATAAATTTATATATATATCACTACTGTTTAATTAGGTAAAAAGAAATCCAGATAACCTTCTGAATATCTGAATATTAGCAAAAGATATACATAAAAATATCTTTGCAATAGTCACAAATATCTGTAGCTTGGGTGTAGAATGAGGGTGGAGGTTCGTTTCCAAGCTTGTGAGAACGAACCTTCATCCTCATAAAAATACCTCTTTATCTACTGAAATAGCCAGCCTGAATTTGACATGTCAACCAAAAGTAATTGCTGTTAAATTTACAAATTATTTCTCCCCCCTCTTCCAACTGAAATCACTTCAGAACTTTGTCATTGTTTTCTGAATAATTTAGAAAGGAAGTCATATAAGCATCTTAGCAATGTTTTTTGAAATGGCAATGAACTATTGAAATTAATTCAGAGAAAAACAGCCAACTATCATAGGAAGAACTGAATAATTTTCAATTAGTTTATTTCACAGCTCATGGACCAAAATGTATTTAGAATGATTTCATTTTAAATATATACAAGACTTCTGCATTATTTCTATTTAATTATTATATGATTGAGATTGTTGTAGTTCATCCTGAAATATGTGATAATTGTACAAATGGTCCTTAAAATAAATTCTATACCTTATGTCTAGCTGTCAAAGATCATTACGGTACTAACCTGTTCATTGTAACTTCTTGGCATATAGCCTTCCCTGTAATATACCACTGCTACTTCCTCCCCATCTCTGAAACAGAGAGGAAATATGTAAGCACTTTTCTCCATTTTTAAGCCCTCCATTTTTTCAAGCCTTCTCTCCCCCACTCTCTCTCTCTCACAGACACACAAACCATGCAACACATTCCATTAACACAAAGATTTCTATTAATGTTGAATGCTTTGATTACATTTCAAAACAGTACATTCAATTACTGAAATACTGTAAAATCAGCATTATCAAACAGATCACTCTCTTATAGTTCTGCTGATAAATATAATAACTGATTTCCAACCTTTCAGTAATTAGGACACAACTAGACGTGTTAAGGACTGAAACTGCTTTAATAGTAACCAGGATGTCATTCACTTAAACCCTTGAATGAATTCTATTTCCATCAGTAGTAATTTAGCCATTCATTAGCTACTTATTAAAAATGTATTTCACAAATCCAGTTAAAAATAATTTTTGATTTACATTCTGGTGGTCATGTGAACATTTACAAATACCTCATATTATTTTTTTAACAAATGCAACACAAATATTTTGTAATGCTCAAACACTACAGATGTATGAAAATTAAGCTCACATGAGTTATCCATCCCTAATCTAAAACTTTAGTTTAATCCTTGATTAATAAAATCTTTTGTTTAATCCTTCCTATTATACACTGCTCAAAAAAATAAAGGGAACACTTAAACAACACAATCTAACTCCACACTTCTGTGAAATCAAACTGTCCACTTAGGTAGCAACACTGATTGACAATCAATTTCACATGCTGTTGTGCAAATGGAATAGACAACAGGTGGAAAGCATAGGCAGTTTGCAAGACATCCCCAATAAAGGAGTGGTTCTGCAGGTGGCCACCACAGACCACTTCTCAGTTCCTATGCTTTCTGGCTGATGGTTTGGTCACTTTTGAATGCTGGCGGTGCTTTCACTCTAATGGTAGCATGAGACGGAGTCTACAACCCACACAAGTGGCTCAGGTAGTGCAGCTCATCCAGGATGGCACATCAATGTGAGCTGTGGCAAGGTTTGCTGTGTCTGTCAGCGTAGTGTCCAGAGCATGGAGGCGCTACCAGGAGACAGGCCAGTACATCAGGAGACGTGGAGGAGGCTGTAGGAGGGCAACAACCCAGCATCAAGACCACTACCTCCGCCTTTGTGCAAGGAGGGACAGGAGGAACACTGCCAGAGCCCTGCAAAATAACCTCCAGGGAGCCACAAATATGCATGTGGCTGCTCAAACAGTCAGAAACAGACTCCATGAGGGTGGCATGAGGGCCCAATGTCCACAGGTGGGGGTTGGGTTTACAGCCCAACACCGTGCAGGACATTTGGCATTTGCCAGAGAATACCAAGATTGGCAAATTTACCACTGGCGCCCTGTGCTCTTCACAGATGAAAGCAGGTTCACACTGCGCACATGTGACAGACGTGACAGGGTCTGGAGACGCCGTGGAGAACGTTCTGCTGCCTGCAACATCCTCCAGTATGATCAGTTTGGCAGTGGGCTAGTAATGGTGTGGGGTGGCATTTCTTTAGGGGGCCGCACAGCCCTCCATGTGCTCGCCAGAGGTAGCCTGACTGCCATTAGGTACCGAGATGAGATCCGCAGACCTCTTGTGAGACCATATGCTGGTGCGATTGGCCCTGGGTTCCTCCTAATGCAAGACAATTCTAGATCTCATGTGGCTGGAGTGTGTCAGCAATTCCTGCAAGACGAAGGCATTGGTGCTATGGACTGGCCTGCCCATTCCCCAGACCTGAATCCAATTGAGCACATCTGGGACATCATATCTCGCTTCATCCACCAACGCCACGTTGCACCACAGACTGTCCAGAAGTTGGGGGATGCTTTAGTCCAGGTGTGGGAGGAGTTCCCCCAGGAGACCATCCGCCACCTCATCAGGAGCATGCCCAGGCATTGTAGGAAGGTCATACAGGCACGTGGAGGCCACACACACTACTGAGCCTCATTTTGACTTGTTTTAAGGACATTACATCAACGTTGGATCAGCCTGTAGTGTTTTTTTCCACTTTAATTTTGAGTATAACTCCAAATCCAGACCTCCCTGGGTTGCTAAATTTGATTTCCATTGATAATTTTTGTGTGATTTTGTTGTCAGCACATTCAACTATGTAATGAACAACATATTTAATAAGAATATTTCATTCATTCAGATGTAGGATGTCTTATTTTTGTGTTCCCATTATTTTTTTGAGCAGTGTATGTTTCTGCATGATCTGTAACTGGGAGAAAGAATTGTGAAATTACCATCTGTTCTTATGTGGAATATCATTAAACATTTTATCTGGCGGATAGTTACTGCTCTGTGCCAACCACAAAAACTGCTTTGCATGTTGAGGAAAGATCTTTGGAAAGTGAGACACTGCAAAGAAACCTGGCCTTTTACATGCTATGGAAAATGTTAGTTAAAACAGGCTAATATGTTGTGGCAGAATTACTGCCTTGATTCAACAAAGTTTTTCTAAAATGACATTAGAGGCTGGATGTAGGCAAGATGATTTTCCACCTAAGATAATTAATATATTGAATTATCATTAGGGTTTAACAAAATTCAGAGGCAGACCTATGGACACTACTTACATATACAGTCTCTTTTCACTGTCCAAGGATGCATTTTCAAACACATCTTTAAAACTTTTTCGGATCACCTTGATATTCCTTAGAGTGAAAGAAAGACAAGGAGAATTGGAACTTTAAATAAAGATCAAGTGCTTAAAAATAAAAAAGGACTTCCATTTTATGCAGAAAAGACAAGAAGTTTTCCTCACCTAAGTACCCATATTAAAAGACAAGGTTGGTGATGAAGAATCAGAACAGTTTCTGTAAAGGTAAATCTGACCCCATTTGTCTTTTAGACTTAATGGGACATAGGGGGAACATCAAAGAGAAGTAATTTGTGTTATGAGGAGGGACAAAGTGCCTCCTCATAACACAAATCTATAATCTAATAAACTATTATTAATATCCTGCATTTGATAACATATAGATATGCCTATTATTGGGTTAAGTTTCATTTGGCTTGCATTTGTGATTTAGTTCTATGTATAAAGTGGCATTTTTAAACTATCTAACTTAGTATATGTTTTAAATAAGTTTTAGACTAGGTTTTTAATTATTATTATTATTAATTATTTTAGTTTTTAAATACTGTGTAGTGTGATTGTGATGTGGTGTTGGGGCACTGTGCTGGAGTAGCTTTCAAATTTCACTGTATTTTGAATGCAATGACAATAAAGGTACCCTATCCTATCCTATCCTATTGATGAAATAGCTTTTCCTTAGCCAGAGTTTACAATCTTTTTACTTACTTGGAAAGATTTCACGTAGGATCAGGATCAGCTTGACTGGGGAAGTAATAGCCTGGCAACTCTAGCAGTGTGAGTTGATTCTGACATGTTGATCGTAACATTAGTTTACAATGTTATCTTAAGATGTAGAATATATACTGATATGCTTTTCTCTTAAGCATCAAATGACTATTATTTTCTGAAATAGGCATCCAATGTAAACTGGACTAACATAAAACGATTTTGGTTAAGCCCTGAGCCACAGCTGTTGAGGAGGAAGTTACACAGCCATGTGGCAGCACTGGTGTCCCAAGGACTAAGTTCAACTACTATATTTGATTGTGGAGGTCCTGGTAGCTGAGAAGAATCATACAATGGCATCTCCCTTCTTTATTAATATCTATGTGTTTTATGCATTAGCATCACAGAGCATACATTTTTTGTAGTTTTGAAACAGAAAAAAATTAAAAAGTTTTGCACAGAACAAAACAAATGGCATAGTTAGCAGAATTCAAGCTGGAAAATTAAACTGCTCTTTGCAATAAAATGAGAATCTCTCAGGATAGAAAACAGTTAAAATTCTGGGACTGCATATTAATTCAACATTCCAAAATCAAGGAAGATGATAGCAAACTATGTTTGTATTTTTCAGAAGAAAATGAATGGTTTTGGTCATAGGTCATACTTTTGTTATTATTATTTTGGCAGAGAGCTACTACGTATAAGATAGTTAAGTAATTAAAATGAACATGCCTGAGATTTTGGAAGAGATTTTTTTGGGGGAAGATACTGATTTTTGTCCTTTTTATTTATTTATTTTTAAAGTTTGTTACTTAGTGGCTTATTTCTCTCACTTCATAGTATAATTCCTGGACCTACCAAAAAAAAAAAAAGAAGATTTAGAAATTGTATGAAGCTATGAGTTTATCAGCCTTTTTAAAATAGTTTTAAAATTTGAACATTCATCTTCAAAATATATTTTAAGGAACCAAATATTAATGATTCTCACGGAATGAATTTAATAGCAGAGATATGTACAAGTATTCAGATTTGAAATATAACATTTCAATTGCAAAAAGCATTCCCACCTTAAATGTAAAACAGCTGTTTAAAGTACAAAGCAGGACTGTTTGGAGAATTTTAAAAAGTGTTTCTAGATCAGAAAAAGGAAGTCTGTTTCAAATTCAAAATTCTTATTTCAAATTTGAAACTTTCAGCTTAAGATATCTTGCCCAGCACTACTGAATAGCAATCTGATCCTAATTATATGAGACTGTTACCTTATCCATAATTCATTTTCTATACAACGTTGGTCAAAAATATTTTTCTGAGCCTCTTCAACCAGAAACATCACCACTGCTCTGAAATAAAAATACATTATGCAGTAATTGCATTAAATAAAATATCCTAATGTTCCTAGGAGTAGCGCAATTTTTTTATGCTATTAAAAAAGAAAGAAATATAAAAAAACAGATGTAATAAAGCTATTTCCTTAAAAATAATGGATTTCATCCCCCTAGTATTATCAGTCTCATATTTCTTCTAGGTAATTGTTTTTGCCACCCACAAAAAGCAATCTACAAAAATAATCTCTACTTTGTACACTTATGTATACATAAATCTCATCTTTATGCAATCCTCTATAGCAGGGGTGTCAAACTGGATTTTTTCAAGGGCTGGATCAGCATTGTAGTTATTCTCCATGGGCCGGCAAGGCAGGGCAGGGGTGGGGGGGGACGGAGGGGACGGGACAGGATGGATACCTCCTGTAGTACCCTGCAAGCCAAAACATTTTGTCTGGCAGACTGCTGCAGGAAGCCAAAAATGGGCTGTGTGGGTCTGCAAGCGGGCCAGTCCTATGCTATTTTCAGACTGGCCCTGTGGGCCAGATTTAAGGCCTTGAGTTTGACACCTCTGCTCTAGCTTGTTTGTGATGGTCTCCTATTTGTCTCTTTGCTTACAATATAGTTGTCCATCCTTTACATACAATACAATAAATACTGCAGGGCCTCAGTCCACATCCTGCTTATTTCAACTGATTTTTTGAAGCTTCAGTCGTAGTCTTTTTCTGTTACTGTTTTACCAAAATTCTACTTGCTGCCTTTAGATCTTATTGTCTTCAATCGTGGTTTCAAAGATCACCACTATTACTATTCATGGATTATTGAAACGCATCCTAAATGGGGCTGCCCTTGAAGACTATGTGGAGGCTGCAGCTGGTCCAAAATATGGCAAAGTTGGCAGTAATTAGTATGCTATGATAAGCCTAAAGCAGTTGATATTTACTGCTTTGCAAACTGCACTGGTTACTAGACGGCTTCCAGGGGCTTCCCGATACAGTTCAAGATTGCAACTTATAAAGCCTTTTATGACATAGGGCCAGGTTATTTGAGGAGTTGCCAATTCCTCCAATTGTTTCTGCCCTTCTGGTAAGATTAGGCAGAATGGGTGTGCTTTATGTTCCTTTGATTAAACCTAGGAAACCTGCCTTATCTGTCACAGAGCATCACTTATTCATAAAAATAACATGCAGCGCTATGCGGATATTTTATAGGCTGCTTAACTTACCTATCTGAGCCGTAGAGTTCCCAAGCTTTTGCAATGCCCATAGCAATTCCATTTGATGGATTATTGGAAAGCAGTTTGGAGGCTTCCTTTGATTTCCCCAAAACATTCAGCACATGCCTATGATTGGGATACATAGATACAAAAGTCATAAAAGATTTCAGAATACATAACTGCTAGGACAAAGCTGTTAGAGAAATTAAAGACCTAAACACTTTCTGAAACATATACTCTAAAAATCCTTCATGAATAATGCACATATATGCAAAACATTTTCACTTGCAAAATTAAAGCAAGCATGGAAAGATTATTATTGCCTTATATTTTGTGATCAAAGCATCAATTTATTCAAGGGTGCCATTAATAAATGTCATTCTGAACTTGGCAACAGGTTTTATCAAGGAGAAAACCACAAACCACCAAAATGGGAGGGCAGACTATATTATATAAACAGAAAACAAACTCCCCCCTCACTCACACTGATGTTATCTAGTTGGGACAACAAAACATTTGCAAGCATAAAACCAAATTCAGAAGTACCAAAGTTTCCATAGTTTAAGCCTGAGCTACTTATACTTGTATCAAAACTGTCTGTGTTTTATAACAGCATCTTACAAGCACAGCAACAACAATTCAAGGCAAAATTCATATGAAGAATTTTGAAGAAACTCAGCTTTTTATTTTTAATAAAAACAAGTAAGCATGGAGAATTAATTTATTATACTGATCGTTAAAAGGATTCAGAATTTTATGCTGGTGCCTTTAAGAGAAAGGATTCTGCTGTATACTGGATGAGCAATGAGCTCACAAATAGGTTGCTGTGTAGATGAGAAGCTGGCAGCTTTGGATTCAAGTTATTATTTATTTATTAAATTTATAAACCACTCATCTCTCTGTCAAGTGACTCTGGGTAGTTCATAATATCAATATCAAAAACCAAGTACAAAACATTAAAATATTAAATATTTAAACAAACAGATGAAATAAAGAACAAAATCCAATGGGCTGGGAGGGTGGGATCTTCTTCCTTGTCCACTAACTATCTCCAGCATGGAACACTCCCTTCAGAGCCCCGGGCCAAATGGCAGAGCCAGGTTTTGACGCTCTTTCAAGGCCAAGAGGATGGGAGTGGATCTCATTTTGAGGGGCATGATGATTCAGAGGGTGAATATAAGTAGCTTATATTCTTAGATGGACGTTAACTAAGGCATTTCAACTAACCTTTTCCCATGCACTTCTGCTCTACCTGAGTTAGCCAAAATCTTAGTGATACATGATATTTTTAAGTAGCCTTAAAATAAGAATTGAAAACTTGCTGGATGAAATCATGAAAGGTGAAGGACAATCCTTCAGCATTTTACATAGTTTTAAGCTATCCCTATTACAGAATATAAAAAGCCCTGAATAAATACAAGCAAGCCAAGGGCGAATTCCAGTCAACTTTGCTCTGCTAAAATCATACAGTGAAAAAGCCCAAGTTTGCTGGCAATCTTACCGGTGTACTGTAGTGGTTCGAGATGTGAGGCCTCCAAAACTTGCAGCAATGGTATTTATCTCTACTTGTTTTAGAGCTGGAGAACCATCTGCACCATAGTCAAACATGTAATCAGAGCGATTGATTCCTAAAACCAATGACTAAGTAAGACAGAAACAGAAGTAAGACAGAAACTTGCCACGATAGCAGGCAAGTATTCCAAGTATTCCAAAAGGACTATTTATTCTGCATTATTATTCATTGAACATCAATTTGTTCATCAGTTTACTGGGTGCACTGAGCACTTAACCGTAAGATAATCCACATGACAGCGGTTCTAGTACTAGGTTCATGTTTCCATAGGGACTGACTGGCAAGGGAAGTTTTAAAGAAGAGCTTTTCTATTGGTAATAGGATGAAGGTCTAGGATTGGCTGATATCAATGGTTACACTGCCTTGTAGAATACATTAGAATAATCCATATGGGAATTGGCTACTACATGAGTAACTGTGAGACTCCCCAAAATTTAGATCACTTTGCCACTGCTTTGATAGCAAAACCAGATTGGGTGTGTGACCAATGTCTTGTGTCAGGTTCTGAATGATCTGGGATAATCCAAGCCTGGCATTGATGCCAGGAACTTCTGAGCCACATCAGACCCCCTCCCAAGAAATGCAGATTGAAATCACCAGGGTAATAAGCCATTTATCATTTGCTGAAGTCTTAGATTAGTCTCTGATTCAGCATGATATGAGAGTTAGTTTTATTGTAAGTATCTAGGGTAAATGGTAGTCTTAGAATTATATAGGATAGCCTGTTTCAATAACAGTTGGATGATCCTAAGTTAATAACCACTTATTGAGTGACCAACCTTATGACCGTGCTGAATGAATGTTACTTATGAATGGTCCTTGAAGTTCTAGCTATCACAACGTTCCCGTGGTCACTTGACTGCATTTTGTAACCTTCCCTACTGGCTTCTCACAAGCAAAGTCATTGGGGAAGTCAGTATGAAATCAGAAGTTGCAATCTTATTAGGTTCTCATTTAACTGTTTGTGATTCACTTAATGGTAATGGGGAACAGTTAGAACTGCAATCACTATTTGGTGCAGTCATGTGAGGTCATACTTTATGACTGCATAATTTTGCAGCAGGAATTATAGTTAAGCAAAGACAACCTGCCCTCTGTTACAATAGAGATTGCCTGACGAGATAACATTTAGGGTATTTTCCCCTATTGTTAGGGTTAGGTTTCTTTTTGCTTTACACTTACATTTAATGTGAAGGTTACTTTCTGAGTGAATGATTACTATTAGTAACAGGGAAAAGCTATGTTTTAGGAACTGCTTACTAGTAAATTTTTTAGGTTAAAATTTTGTATTGGCAGAGGTGTGAGAAATTAGGGTCAAAATTAGGGATTTTTGACAACTTGGTTTCATTTTCATGTGATGATTAGCTTTAGGTTGATTTACTGAACTCGTGTAAGAACTCTGAGGCACTTCCAGGTGGAAAGGATTAGCCAATGACATCACTGTTGCCTGGGCAGAGACCAGTTGGGGGGCTCCTCTCATGTCCCCAGCAGGAGCTGGTGTGAAGGATGGGAACTCACCTTGCCCTATGGTAGCACACCTTGAATGGGGGCTTGGAAACCTCCAAACCAAAATCTTAACCACACAAACCACTTTACTCCTGGCTGATTTATGCCAAATTGTAACGTTAGGTTTATGTTACCTGAGGACTACCTGTCAAGTACTTGATAGGGCAAAAAAAAAATGCCAGTAGGGCAGTAATTTGGGGTTAGGTTTCCTTGAGGTCCAAGACTGCAGAACATTCATTTATTCCTCATATTTATGTAGCTGCTCATTTTACAATAAACAGTAGGTGGCGTTGGGGTGAGTCCTCATCATTATTGGCATTTTTAAAGTTAAGTGCTATAAGGATTACATATTAAAAATAAATCAGCAGCTTTACAGCTTTTATGAAATACCTGAGCAATTCCTTCATCCAAAACCTGCTTGTAAATTTTAAACAGTTGAGCTGTAAAGTCATCCACTTTAATGATACTAGGAAGAAGTAGAAAACAGATATCATATGTAGAATTCAGACTTATTGTAAAAATACAAGAACCACTTTTAAAAAAAGACACAAAGTAACATTGAAACCTTCAGTTCCCTAGAATTCTTCACAAGTTAAGGAATTATAAAAATACAAGGGATGGAGAAGTCCAAATATTAGACCAAATATTTTAGAGTGATGTTTATTCTTCAATAATTTTTCCCAATATATTTCTGGAACAAGTAGCTCATTATATAAAATAGGTTGGCAGGAAAAGATCTTGAATGAGCCTACATTTTAAAAAAAATTATACCATATTAGGAAAATAATATTACTGGGGAAAAAATTTCCCACCGTATTCCTCAATTTAATATATAATACAGTTGTTATTTATCTTAAAAATCCAGTTCTTCATATTTCTGATACCATTTGGACCTCCAGCAACAATTTTTGTGCACAAAAAATTCCCTCACAATGTATACATGAATTTTCAGCATACACATACTACCTGGGAATTCACATTATATATTTCCAACTGTCATGTAACACAAGAATCACAAGACCATTCACATGTAAAAGTATAGCAATCTTGGAATCTATAATATATATTGTTCTTAAACATGATAGAACATGAAATGGGATGCTGATTTATATTATTTACTTAGAAATACATTCATAATATATTTCCTTAGTTTTCCAGTCATTTGCAAACAATTAAAAATATCACTGGAATAGGCAGACAGTAACCTGATGTGAACAATGAGGAAGAATGTATGCATGTTCCTTCCACATTCCACTAAATCAATTTTAATGTAAGTTGTCCTCATTTAATGATCATAATTAATTAGGACCCACAACTGAGTTGCTAAGCAACATAATCTTTAAGTGAAACATCATGCAACTGTGCCTGACTTACGATATTAGTTTAATTGCAGTTGTTAAACAATTCACCTGCAATCTTTAAGAATGCTATCATGTGATCATGACTTGCAACTTACTGCTGGCTTCTCCACTGATTTTGCTGTGAAGCTCGCATGTGGTAAACATGTGCTGGTTTAAAAACACCTGAATCACAATCACTTGACCAAGGGGTGCTGCAATAATTTTAAGTTCAAGGACCAGATATAAAACTACTTTTTCAGCACTTGTAAATTTGAAAAGTCACTATACAGGGCAGTTGTTTACTGAGGATTACCCATCCAGCAACTATGAAAATTGCATCTGAAATACTTTTTTTCTTAATATGCAATAGGCAGACATACCTGGCAAGAGTGCACTCTAGGAATTCTGTATCCTGACTAACTTTATCCACTAGTAGATTAAAGTCCTGTTGAATGGAATAGGCTTGCTCAAGCAGACTTTTTGATACTGGAGACGGGAACAGTGTAAAAGGTGCAAAATTCACAACCTGTTAAAACAGGGAAAAGCAATGGATATTCTGGCTCATTCCCTTTGAACAAGTAATGAAATGAAGCTCTTTCAAATTTTTTAAGCATACTGGAAGTACCATATTTTTTACACTATGAGACGCTCCAGGCCATAAGATGCACCTAGCTTTTGGGGAAGGAAAACGAAAAAATCTGCCTCTGCCTCCCAGCAATTTGCCTCCTTGCAGCAAAAAACCTGGTCAGCTTCAGCACACCCTGATTTAGCAAAAGCAGCTGATTGTTGGTTGGATCGGCCTCCCGGAATATCGCCGATCAGCTGTTCCAGGCTGCAGGGATCGCCACCACCCGTCGCTGCCATTGCTGCTGCCTATCACCGTCTCTGCATGCCCCATTTTCAGCCTCTAAATGTCTCGTTTTCAGCCTGTTCCAGACGGCAGGGATTGTTGCCACCAGACCTATCACCGCCACCGATCGTGACTGTGGATTGCCAAGGCCTGGAAAGAGCTGAAAATGGGATGCGCAGAGGCTGAAAATGGGACGCAGCCTGGAACAGCTGATTGGTGATATTCCGGGAGGTCGATCCAACCACCAATCAGCTGCTCATGCTAAATCAGGCTGTGCTGAAGCTGACCAGGCTGTTTGTTGCAAGGAGGCCAATTGCTGGGAAGCAGAGGCCGAAGGGTGGGGGCCGGCAGGTGAGTGGGGCTTCGTCAACATTCAATCTATAAGATGCACAGACATTTCTACCTTCTTTTTGGAGGGAGGGTGTAGCTTATAGAGCGAAAAATATGGTACGTAGGGAGGCAACTTTAATAGCACTACAGCAGAATTATATTGTCAGCATTATGTATTTTCAGAATCTCAGCTTTAATGGAAACAAATGTTCCATAAATAATATAGCTACAAAGAAAAGGCAAGCGGGAGTAAATAAAAGAAACAAAGCTTTCCATGTACGTTGTGTCACTTTGGCCTGCTTGCTCACATTGGATCACTACATGTTGCCAGATTTGTTAACGGTACCATACATGAAAAAAATTATCACATGGAGACAAGTTACTGAGAATTTTGCTTATATGCAGATAATTCTCAGCTATCTTCATTGACAAGTATATGAGTGAATTTATCTACCCATTGAAGTTTGAAAGTATATAAAATGATAGCGGAAAATGAGCAGTACATATAAAGAGTATAAAATAGATATGATTTTCTATTGAACAAACATGAAAAAATTAATCCACTAATAAAGGACATATAATTAATAAAATTGTAGGGGGTATAGAAATAGCTAAATAACTGCTGAGTAATACTACAACATTGCTATACAATAATATAAGCACTTGTTTTAAGACCTGTCAAGTCAGTATCTATGGATAGATATATGGTGCTACAAAGATTTTGCAACATGAATTCTAGTTTTCAACTTACATCAGAAGCATTGGGGTCATCTTTAGTCCTCATTAGAACACCTTCAAGTAGTGCTCTGTCTATTGCAATGGGAGCCACATACTGAATGAGTTGCACATTTTGCAAAATATCTTTCCAAAGTGTAGTCATCGCAAAGACTGAAAAAGATATAAAATTCTAAAAATATTATTTTATACACACACACCACCAAGATGATGTGTAGGAGAAAAATAATATTCAATATCTATTAAAAATATATTGCAATAAATTAAAAAAATCCAAGGTGAAATCATGTAATATTAAATTGTGTAACACATTTAAAAAGTTCAGAAGCTCAATATTTAACAATCCAAACATTTAGCAAAAGGCAATTGGAACATAATCAAATTTTAAAGTTTGATTTAAAATTTGCACAATATGTTGGAATGAATTTGTAGAAGAGTGAGCCACCACTAAAAAGTTGATCTTATTCACAGATATAATTATGTAACTTATCCTAAAAACACACAATCTGTCTAATATATATCTGTGAATACATCTCACAAAAATATAGTGGTACTTTATAGAGTAGAATCATTAGTGAACTTCACACTTGACCAAAGACATGAGAGTACAAATCTAATTCTTAGATCCATGATATAAGTTCACAAAGAGTTAAGAGACTGAACTTTAAATCTGATTATTTTTTACTGAAGTAAATATAAAAACAAAAATTACAAAATTCCTGGGTAGCAGGATAGCAATTTTCCTTCCAATTACACACAGGCACACGCACACACACAGGGAAAACATTGTTTTACAGAAATAAACTAAATGATTCCTAAATACATAGCACCTCAAAATGAAATAGTATTGCAGATAAAATCAGATTTACATGACCACTAGTGAACAGAATGAGAGGACTACACCGTTGAAGTATCATTATATTCTGTCCAGAACTTTCCTCTTTGTTAGTATAGATTTCACATAGTCATCAAATTATAATGCTGCCTTTTGTAACAATGTCTGTGTCTATGTATCCTGGGTCTGAGCTCCACAAATACATTTTTTCATGTATCTCTATTTGTGAGAAAGAGAAATATCCTATTAATAACAATGCTAGAAAAAATGCACTGACTGAATATCTTTTTTTTATTAGAGGAACTCCCCCATTTCTAGTTACTTTTAGTGTAATAAAGTTCATCTGGCAGTTATACCTCTGGGCAAAGCAGTAATCTATTAATAAGGATGCATATTTCCATGAGCCAAGAAGTACAATAATGAATCCCTATAGATATAGATCTTGACAACTTATGTCAGAACAGCATTTACGATCTTTTAAACATTATACAGAAACCCAGGCTAATGGAAGTAGTTTTTTCAAAGGAAGCTTTATGCTAAGCAATGTAACCAACCTCTAGTATTAATAATGAGTTACTTTAGAAAATTTAAGCTATTTAGCTGAACAAGTATAAATAATGTCGTTTTATCAGGTTCAGTAAAGTACCTATAGCATCTTGCAACCTTAAGCCTATTTGGAAGAAATCTGGATAGCTACACACATTGCAATAATTCATTTTTCTTCTCTGTTACAAAGGAATGTGAAAAAATATAAGACCAATTCCATTTATTAAAATAATATCATATATCTATGGCTGAAACTATGGAAGAAAAAATTCATTGTTTCTAGAACACTCTAGTATTGTTTTAACATTAAAATAAATGAAGGCAAACAAAGTGGGGGGTGGGGATCTCAACTGTTGGTACACAAAAAGCAAATGCTGAATCATCTATGGCCTGTCTCTAGTTAATAATTGTTTGTAATCACTCTTTCCCTCCCTCACTTTCTGTAAACCACAGCATCTTTTAGAACAGATCTCCCCCATTCTCAGTCAGGAACCTGTGGGCCTGAAGTGCCTTCTTTTCCATCATAAAATGAACAGACAGTTCCGTCATACTAGTTTTTAAAGAATCTACAGCCACGTTTGCCTCTCAGGTTTGACCTCTGCACCCCAGATATTGGCTAGCTTTGGTCACGGTCCACTTCTGCTTCCCCAAGTCCCTCGGCAGCGGCTTAACTCTTCGGAAACCACCCCCCCTTCCTTGTTAGAAAGGACAAACGCTGCTCTGCCTCCTTCTGCCCTCAATAGTCCCGCACCCCGCTTTTTGTCACCTGAGAAAGGCTGTGGGTTAATGGGCACCACTGGGTCCTCCCATTTCTCCCTACCGGTGGGTGGGGAAGGGCGCCGGCTGCTACATCCTCGGCTCAGAGCACTGATACTCACTAACACACCGCGCCCTTTCCGCGGATTTAAATTTCTATGCAACCATTGAAAAACAGAAGACATATGTCCCGCCGCCCAGGCGCCCATCCATTCACCCAGTACCTGAGACCACTCTGACGGGAATCCACAACTATGTCCCCTCAGATAGTCCCTCGCAGATTGGCTACCCTTTCAGCCTATCCACGAACACCGGTGTCCGTTGCACTGATTGACAGGGGTGTAATCATATCAGAGAAGTACCCACAAAAAAAAATGGCGAACGCCGAGGAAAAAGGCGGAGCCTATGCAAATACGGAGGCGGGTCCCGGCGCCTTCTCCTCTTTGCTCTTTACCTGTTGCGTGTTTCTCTGTTAGGGATTTTTTCCCTCGCGTTTTTTCCCTCCCGCTCCGGGCGCCATTTTTGAATGTGGATGGTGGCCAGTCCGCAGCCAGGAAGGAGGGAGGGGCTGGAATCTGGGGCTGAAGTCAAAATAAACGGGATGGGCAAAAAGATATTACAGGCCATTTTTACAACCGGGAAGCTGTCTATGGAAGCTGCTGTTTTCCTTGCAGAGACGGCTGTAGGTCGGGAAAGGTGACCTCATCATGTAGGGGTCCGGTCACAGAGGGGTGTAGAGGTCACGCGTCAGACTTGTGAGCGTTTTTGACATCATGTCTGCTGCCTTGGGGTGAAAAAACAACAACAACCCTGCACGGATGAACTGCTGTTAAGACCTGCGAAGGGGACGCCCAGCGGGTGAGAGGAGAAGCGTCCGTCGTGGAACGAGATGGACACTGAGGAAAGGAGGGAGGGCGAACAGGAGTAAACCTTCCAAGGGGGCGTTCATGGGTCCTCCAAACGGTTGAGGTGAAGTTCAAAAATCGGAATGGAGAGCCCTCCTTTTCTGGAACAGGCTCTTTCTTTTTACTATCCAATGCTTTACTATCCAAGCATTCATCGGTACAACCCTCTTATTTATCCATATCCCAAATGTACCCATGTGTGAAAATAGCTGTCACTTAGAACAGGGGTCTCCAACCTCGGGCAACTCTGGGAGTTGAAGTCCACAAGTCTTAAAGTTGCCCGTGTTTGGAGACCCCTGACTTAGAAGATCCTTGTTTTTCCTTCTCACCTCCCCCCTTTCTTCTTGTTCTCTTTTTAATACTGTTTCAGACACTTTGAAAAACAAACAGTTCCACAGTTTCCCACCTGTTGGGTTTCCCTGGCAGCTTCTTATCCAAGTAGGAGTTGACATGTCCCTACCTAGCCAAGAGAAGGTCAGCCTGATATCAATACCTACTTCTTGTTTCTTCTGTGTAAAATTTGAATTATACAGGCTGTGGAGCAAGAACGTTATGTAAATAGGCATCATACAAAGAGCTGCTAACTTACAATTGGTAGTAATAACGGAATTGAGAGACTCGGTATTTTTCCATTTTTATTGAACCATGGCACAACAGCATCTTTTTTCCCTGTTACTTATATATCTTCATAACAGTGGCCTTGTCTTATGACTAGCCAATCAACAAGGCAGTCTTAAATTATTTTTAATTCAGCCGAATTAAACTTTATGGTCAGTAATGTGTATTACCTTTGTCATCTTTTATTTGTAGAAGAGAAGACTATATAATTTCAGACTATATAAGCAATATACGGATCAATAATAGCACATTTCATGTTTGTGTTTCAGTTGAAGAATGAGTCAATAATACAATTTAACAAGGTAGGGCATTCACTTAATGTAAATAACAAAGTTTGTGAAGAGAGTTAAGATCAGTGCAATCTTTTTTTTTAACCTTTTGTCTGTTGTTTTCCAATAGTCATGCAGAGAAGTAGATTCCTGGAAAATTGAGAATAACCTGGTCCATTAGCGGATAGCGGTATTTCAAGTGCAGTTTGTTTTGGGCTTTAATGTTCAAATTGATGTAGTAAGTGCTATCAAAAAGTAACAACTTTTGTTAGATCACTTTAGGTTGATGAAATCTTGCATATTAGTTTATTGATTTAAATAGGTCCAATAAAATATATTTGCCTGCTTATTTTAAATATTTAATTATTTAAATAATTTAGTTAATAGTGTGATTCTATACGTATCAGTTCAAAAGTAAGTGTTATTTCTTCTATGAACTTTAATCCCAGGGAAGTGTATATATAATTACAACATAATTTTAGGTTCACCAATACCAATCTGCAGTTATTAAGTAAACACTCCAAACATGCCAGGTTCCAAGGGAGAAATCGTTAAGAAAGAATACCAACCCACTTCAGTATTCTGCCAAGAAAACAAAAAAGATACTCTCAGCTAGGATAAACTTGACATGACACTGAAATTTGACACTCCCCATCCCCAGTTTGGAAGATATCCAAAAAGCTATTGGGGGAGAAGACAGAGCAAGTATGAAAAGCACTAGTGCTTTTAATGTGGCAGGATTAAAGCTGAAAGAACATCCAGCTGCTGTTGTAGCCAGAGACAAAAGGGGACTTAAATGCAGTACTGCTAATATATATGTATACCATTGGTATGTGGAATGTCAAATCCAGGAAATAAGACAAACTTGGTGTGATCAAAGCAGAAATGTCAAGAGGAACATTAACATTCTGGGAATCAGCAACTAAAATGGAATGGAATGGATCATATCACATCAGAGAAGCATCCGTTTTTCTGCAGACTGAGGCAATAGAGTATCCATTATTAAAAGGATGCCAAAGTTCGTGCTTGGATATACCCCCAAAACTGATAGGCTGTTCTTAGTTCAAATCCATTACAATATTACAGTTACTTGAATCTATACTCCAACCACAGATTCAGAGGAAGTGAAACTGAACATTCTATGATGACTTGTGATGCAGTGTTGACATAGCACCAACAATGACACATTTATTATGGACTGAATGGAAATGTAAAATAGCATTTTGAATAATTAATACATTTGGCCTAGGTATCTGAAACTATACAGTTGAAAGCTAAATTAAAAAATGATTATATCATTTAATAGTGAATCTCAGCAAGATAAAATATTATTTTTGATAGTCTATTCTCCACAAATAGAGATGGAGAAACTTTAGTGCTGACTGCAGCTTGAATTGCAAGCATCTTGCAAAATTATGGCTTAATTAAAGAAAACAAAGTCATGAAACCAATAAGATACAACAGCAGCATTTTATATAGTTATGCAATGAAAATTACAGATTAAATAAATTGGATTATATTAGATTTGATAAATAGAATACCTAAAATACACCAGACTGAATTTTGTCACATTAATGTTCCCAATGTTCCCAAAAATGCAAAAAGCAAAAGAGGGAAAAGGGATGCTCACTGATATCCTAAAAACGACTGAAGAAGGGCAAAAAGCAAAAGACAACAGAGGCAAAGGAAAATTTGTTGAATAAACACTGAATTTCAGAGAACAGCAAGACAAGGAGATGTAAATGATTGCACAAAGATATTAGGATAACAACTGAATAGAAAAAGCAACAGGTAGGACTTGAAATCATCAGGATTGAAATCATCAGTCATGTTGATATGTACTCTAAAGGAGACACTGAAGTAATTGTCATGCAAAATAATTGTGGAAGACATGAAAATCTCAAAGAGATCAAATTGGAAATATTTAAAAATAGTCTGATATGTTTACATAACTTACACATGGAGCATCAGAAAAGTAGTTAAAAGAACAAGAAAGAATGATTTAGAAAATGTAGGATGCATTCTAATTTATTGCTTCTTAGAGAGATTAGTATATATAGATAATATATCCAAATCCTTCTCTATGGTATAAATAAACATATATAGTACAGATAGAAGATAGATAGAATACTTTATTGGCTAAGTATGATTGGACACACAAGGAATTTGTCTTGGTGTAAATATTCTCAGTATACATAAAAGAAAAGATACATTCGTCAAGAGTCAAGAATCATAACGTACAACACTTAATAATAGTCATAGGGTACAAAAAACAATCAAATCATACTAGGAAACAGTCAATATAAATCATAAGGATACAAGCGACAAAGTTACAGTCATACAGTCACAAGTGGGAGGAGATGGGTGATAAGGAGCGATGAGAAGATTAACAGTAATAGTGCAAACTTTGTAATAGTTGAACAGTGTTGAGGGAATTATTTGTTTAGCAGAGTGATGGCTTTCAGGAAAAAAACTGTTCCTGTGTCTAGTTGTTCTGGTGTGCAGAGCTCTATAGCATCATTTTGAGGAAAAGAGTTGAAACAGTTTATGTCCGGGATGCGAGGGGTCTGTAAATATTTTCACAGTCCTCTTTTTGACTTGTGCAGTATACAGGTTCTCGATTGAAGACAGGCTGGTAGTAATTGTTTTTTCTGCAGTCCTAATTATCCTCTGAAGTCTGTGTCTGTCCTGTTGTCCAGACAGTTATAAAGGTGCAGATGATAGACTCAATAATTCCTCTGTAGAACTGTATCAGCAGCTCCTTGGGTAGTTTGAGCTTTCTGAATTGGCGCAGAAAGAACATTCTTCATTGTGCTTTTTTGATGATGTTTTTTGATGTTAGGTATCCAATTTAGGTTATGTGATATAGTAGAACCTAGAAATTTGAAGGTCTCTACTGTTGATACTGTGTTGTCTAGTATTGTAAGAGGTGGTAGTATGGGAGGGTTTCTTCTAAAGTCTACCACCATTTCTACGGTTTTGAGTGTGTTCATTTCCAGATTGTTCCGGTTACACCACGAGGCATATGGTATACCTTCCTGTCTGTATGCGGATTCATCATCTCGAATGAGACCAATCACTGTTGTGTCATCAGCAAACTTCAGTATTTTAACAGATGGATCATTTGAGATGTAGTCATTGGTATATCGGGAGGAGAGAAGTAGAAAAAGCACACAGCCTTGGGGGGGCCCTGTGCTGATTGCACAGGTATCAGATGTGATTCTGCCTAGCTTCACCTGCTGCTTCCTGTCTGTTAGGAAGCTTATGATCCACTTACAAGTGTGTTCAGGTACCGCTAGTTTAATTTACTTAGAAGAATACCATGTACTCCTATATGTTATAAACCTACATATGGTATTAACATATAAATAGAATATTTGTATCTCTTAAAATATTTTTATTCTTAATTGCTGATTCTGCTTACATATTAGGAACATTTTAACTAAATTTATATATTGTGATATTTATGGTAAGTGATATGAGTTCATTACATCCAATCTATTGATTTATGTATGAACACAAATATAAATGGACCATGGATTCTAAAAATTAATTCTTTGTAATATTGAGATATTATTTTAGTATGGAAATCCTGTCAGATACATTTTAATTTTATTTTGATTTCTGATAAAATGTATATAATACTATATTTCTGTTTCAGATGCTATGTCCAGCAAAAACCTGGCGGATTGTGACACAGAAGGTGAGTGTGATTTTTATTCTGACTGTTGGGAACAAAGTGTAAAGATGCCAGACAACAAGGAAACTCATTGGTATTTTCACTGCTTTTTCTAAGTTACTAAATGTATTGGGTTTTTTTTTTTAGCATAGGCAGTTTACATTTTTGTTGTAATGCTGAATTTTGTAAACATCAACAATTAGAAAGCAAACATTTCTGTTTTTTTCCTTTATTTTTCCTAGATTTGACTGACTCTAGCACTGAAAATTACTTCTATTTTGATTCATGCAGTTTGTTTGAAAAAGAAAAAGGGAAAAAGAAATTGCATGGCATAGTGCTTATATTGGAAAATAGCCAAGCAAACAGTGCAAGTTTCTGCAAAGAGAATCCTTTGCTGCAAGGAGAAAAAGTAGAGTGCACTAGTAAATTGCAAGAGGAATTATCACTGGAATCCATATTGTTTTTCAAATGTAAGAATTACCGGTATAATACAAATGGCCAGTCACTGAAATCTTTTTCAAGCAAAATAGTTCCATTCATATACAGTACCTCTCATGGAGACTATTTGTGTTTAAATAAAGCAACCCCTCAACAGATCCTTACTAAAAATTCCACTGAAGGACAAATCATTTATACAGTGAAAGAAGCGTGTGCTTTTGATAAATTCCATCAGAAGCAGTCATCAGATGGTAACTCTCTACCTCAAAAGCAAAACAAAGCTGTGCAAGTTTCTTCTACAGAAATAAAAATAGAGGACAATATTTGCTATAAATCTTTCAAACAATCACCAATATCTACTGAGATAAATAAAGACCTGAAGAAACTTAAAAACTTCCTTAGTTTTGAAAGTCACTTAGTAAGTAGCCATTCAGAATACTCCTCAGAATATTCTTATCAAATTAACAACCAAATTACTGAGCAAATCTGCTCACCTTCCAATTCAGAAGAGTCTATTTCGTTGACATTGGAAGCAACTTATGTATATCCAGACAGTTCATTAGCAAGCAATTCTGAACTTTCACATGTGAGTGAGGATGAAGATTCCCAGAGGCATGCTTTAGCTTTTCAGTTTAAAGACTCTGAACATAACCCACTGTTTAAGAAGTTGCATCTTATTATAGTGCCACGAAAAGAGGCCATACATTTTAAAAAGCAGGGAGAACTTTCTCAAATTCTAATCGATGAAGCCAATTATCTTCTAGCAACTCACTCAGATCCACGAGAATCTAGTTCTTCCAATGAATATTCTGATCAAGCATTACCTACATCAAATCTTTGGTCCTCATATTCATGCTTCCCACACTTCAAATATTCACAGGCAAATCAGCTACCTAACTTTTTTCTTCAGTCATCACCCCAAAATCCAGTTAAATCTGCTTTTCAAAAAAGAAAACTAGAAGTGTCCAAGCCTGTAAAATCAGTTGTGTTTACCAAACAGAAAACATTGCAAAGAGACCAAAAATATAAAAGTAAGCCATCTATCTTCTCCAAATTTCATTCATTTAAAAGATTGGACTTTGAACCTATAGACAAAAATAGAGTAAAAGAACAATATGTGTCTCTAAATCAGACATCTAAATGCCATTGCAGCCCATTGCTTGACTTAACTGTTGATTTGCATTCTGAAGACAAAAATTCTGAAATTTTTTTAACTCGTGACAGAAGTTCTCACAAACAAACTCGAGTTGGCAAAGTCATCCATAGATTTTCCTCTTGTTATTTGCTAAGTCCTAAAAACAGTTTTGAAAGGCTTCACTATATTTCTCCAATTAGAAAAAAAAATCATTTGAAGATGCAAAACATACTGAATTATTTTTTAGGCTGGACTGGCAGACAGAACAGAGATGAAAAATTTAAAGAGGATATTTCTCTGACTTCAAAGATACAGGCAAATGATACTTTTATTTCACATATGCCAGTTGACAAAAGGAGTTCAACTGTTCCACTTCATCCACATTCAGATAATTATTCTGTTCCATTTCCTACAACATTATCTTTTGTAGATGAGATGAGACATTCACATGTTCCTTCTCTGCAAACAGAGAGAAGGAGTCCTAGAGCATTGCACATTTTTCCAAATGAATGTAAGCATTCATCTGCTCCCTGTGTGGAAATGAAGAGGGATCTTTGGAGTCCTGTGGAATCTTATGGTAAATACAGCACCTGCCATTCCCCTTGTGAAAATTCTAAAACACAACTGCTACCAAATAAATTAAATGTGTGTAATAATAGAAGTATGGAAAAACTGAACTTTGGAATTAATCAGATAGCAGATGGAAGTTTGGTCCTGAAGAAGTTTTCAGTGTGCTCCTGTGGAACTATGTCACAAAGTGGTTTGTTTCCTAACAACAATATTTCAGAGTCGGGTAGAAGAAAAACTAGACCAACTCCAGATAGTAATTGGAAAGCTAATAAGTCTGCCTCAAACAGATGGAATTCCACTGCAGGAACCTTCAACACAGAGAAAGTGTGCTGTGATTGTCACCATGTCTCTCCAACATGTTCTTCGCACAATTCATGCAAACAGAAAGCTCCAAGAAACCAGGTTACTGAAGTAGCATCTTTATTTGAAAATGGATTTCCCATAAGGAATTTGAAAGAGGATGTGAAAAAAAGTGAAACAGTGAAAATAGGTGAAAGAAAAGTCAAATTTCATCTAGGTTCAGATTTACAAGAGGCTGATCTTTTAACCACACACATTTCATCACCAACTAATGAATGTCATCAAATACCAAAACATTTCGTTTATCAACCTGAATGTTCATGCTGCCAGACTGCTGTTAAAGAACATCTCAGCACATCAAAAGTGTCTAATTATCTTGGTTCAGAAAACCACATGCCAAAGAACTATCTCAATAGAGAGAGTATATTTCTAGTGGATCCTAATCGGCAAATTAAAAGGCAGTGTAAATGTTCCCATGAAATCTCTCTCTTCAAGCCTGAGCAAATTGATGTATATTCAGGAAACAGATCTGAGATTTCAAAAAGGAAGGATCCCAAACTTACCCAGGTTTGTATTTTGTCAACACACACACTCACACGTTTAATTTGATTTAATTTGGAGTAATGCTGTGGTACAGTGTGCATTTACCTAGGAATTAGCCCATTGTTTTTAGTTAATACTTTTAGAAGAAAAATACATTTAACTTTTAATTCTAAGAAAAGCAACTAGTACTTTTAGATGTTTTCTTTATTTAATGTGTTCTTGACAAGCAAGACAATAGTTACAATGCATTATAATATAGATTCAATCTTAAATAGTAGTGTTATCCCAAAAGATTTTGCATGTATGTTGAGAAAATGCTGTCCTAAAATATGTTGCTGTTGTCAATAATAGGTTTCTCTGCTAGCTTCCTGGCTATTGCATTTTGAAACTTTTCTCATATGGGGAGGCTGAAGACAGATGGAAGTTGTCCAATACATTTGTGATTTAAAAATGGCTTCTTCAAAAATAGCCACACATCACTGCCTTTTTCTAAGTAGGACACCCTTCCTTAAAGTGTCATTAGCTACATTGAATCACACATATTCTGCCAGGAGCACCAGGCAAGGGCACAGACCCAATCCTCAGGAGCACAGTTTATATTACAGAGCTATTAAGTTTGAATAATTCCAAAGTATCCTAGGTCAAAATGTCATAGCAATTACTTACATGATTACTCAAAGCTAAACCCAGCCTTGAACAAAAATGAGCTTGCCAAAGCTTGTAAAATCATCAATTTGTTCTGCAGGCACTATATCTTTCCTGTCCTTCCCTAAAAGAAACTTGACTATTCTGAGCAGGTTTACCAAACAAGAACCTGCAGTCATAATAAGTGGAGAGATGTTCACCTACTTTGCTGCTATTTTATATTATAGCTGCTATTTAGCTTGCAATACTAGATAATTGTTCTCACTTTTTATGTGGTGACATCTGTATTGGGCAATTTTTCACTTCATCTTTGGAAATTAGGAGGCAATCTTGTTCTTTGTCTGGTTACCTTTTCTCACAAACACTAATCAATGTCCATCAGGTGTCTGGGGCGGACTATCTTAAATAGCCCCTTCGATAGATGCAGGCTCTTTAGGATTCATATCCTAACCAGAGAGTTTTGATCAAAGAAAAAGATAGATATCCTAAATATCCACGTTACTTATCTGTTCATAAATAAAAAACAGATCCAGTATATGCCTGTCCAGTATATGGCTGAAAGTCTTAGGCTATGGCCCAGATTCCAAAGCATTATGTTTAGAAGATAATTGTATATTGATTTTTTAAAAATATTGTTTAAAATGATTTTGCTTACCTTAGTTTAAATAGCGTAAATTATTGAATATTTTATCATTTAAATATTATTTATATTTGCTGACTAGTGTTAAATGAATTATGAGTCATCTTCAGTCCCTTATTGAAGCTGAAAAACTTTCTGCTTGTTTATTGTTTGTTGTGGGGAAAAATAAGAGGAGCAAGGAGTATTACGTATGTTCACCACCTGAAGTTATTTATAAAAATAATAAAGATGGAATAAAATAAATGATACAAATATTTAGTAAATTACGTACTATAGTTATGCAATCAAACTTACTGTGTTCCACATACCAGTTAAAGTACAAGCAAGCATCAAAGCAAAATAAATTTTGCATAACGTTGTCTTTTCCATTTGGTGTTGCCTGTATTTAGACCAGACATAAATGCTAAAATGATTTTTGTTAACTTAAGGCTTTCTTACAAATGATATATTATTTTGTATAACTAGAAAAGCAAGTACTGCTTTTTTCTTTCCTTGCCTTCTGATCAAAGAAAAAAATTGCAGCCAGTTGTGTAAACAAAATTAAATTAATAATATAATGTATATTATTTTCACTGCTTTTGTATTAAGTATCTGGAAAAGGTAGATTATATTTGTATAATAAAGTACATTGTAGTCATGTGTATAAAGTCACACTAAAAATATAGTATTTTTAGAGATTACTGAATATACTAAGCTCTAGATTTTGATACATTTTGCAAAATCATAAACGTAGCTCAAAATGAAGCAAGTAATCTGTATTCATTATTGACATGTTTTTATTTTTCTTAGGAGTCTTTGAAGTTTAATCATGGTTGGAAGAGATCTGAACAATGTAAATACTGCCAAGAAAAAAATTAATGCAGTCATTTGCAGTAAGAAAAAGATTATTTAAAAATAATGAAATGTTGGTAAATCTTGATATGAACTTCGGAGAAAATCCATTGAAGTACCACAAAAACAGAGGCATAAACAGATATAATTTCACCGATGAAGAATATACATGCCGCTCCAAAGTATAACGGGTGAGAAGATAAAAGCTTCCTGCAGAGATATGTTCCATTACACTTAGTTGAACTTATTTCTGAATAAATATGCATAGAATTAAGTTCTTAATAATGTATACTAAATAGAAAATGTCTTTGATAAATTTCAGAGTGGTAGATAACAGTGGCCTCTTACAGCAAAAATAGTAAAAAGTATCCCAAACTAGCATATTAATAACAGCTTACCTTTTCATAGACTAGTTCCCCCAAAATCAGGTAGTTGTGCTGTAAATCAAGCAATGACAATTCATTTTAAAGCAGGTTTGGTCATCACCATCACATATACATGTAGTCCTCACTTAATGACCATTCATACAAATTATAACAGTGCTGTCAGGTGCAAACAACCAAAACCACTCCGTGAATAGATCTAAATAAATGCTTTATTGCTGATCCATAAAGAGCAAGAATCTCACCAGATGCCTTTGAAAAACAGTAAACATAGGTGTAAGGGGTTTGACCTCAGTGGTTTCCTCCACCAAACCAACTCCAAGCTGTAATGTCTCCTTAATCCTTCTAAAGCAGGGGTGTCAAACTCATGGCCCATGGGCCAGATGCGTCATACGCTGGTAACTTCCATGCCTTTAGCAAAGGGAAAAAGTCATGATACATCATGTAATGACTCAGTGACGCTATAAGTTTCACAGTCTTGCTCTAAAGGATCCCCCTCTCTTTCAGGCAGTGATCCCACCCCAAGTACTGAGTGAATGGTAGTCAATCAGTTGTCAAAGTTCCAGCTGTTGCAACACTCCTGTAGTCACATGATCAAAATTTGGGTGACCAGCTTGCATTTACAACCATAGAACATGGTCATGTTCTCATGGACTACTTCAATATGTGTTGCCTACCTATCTTCTATCTTTGCCCTTTTGGCCTAGCACTCTGCCACCTACCACTTCCAGCCCTACCCCGGCTTACCTTCGCCATCATCTTACTCCTGCTGCTGGCCCAGGATCCAGGTGCTGGGTGAGGGTATAGCCCCAGGATGAAGCTGGTAAATGCAGCAGGGAACAGAGACTTACCTGCTATAGGAATCTGCACAGCCAGGCAGGAAGGAGGCAACTGATGCTTGTGGAGGAGGCAAGATGGCAGCCTAGACAGAAGAACCCTGTTTTGTGCTGCCAGCACAAGGAGTGATAGCTTGCAAACTGCAGAGTGAAAAATATAGCAAAATCTTAACTGCAAAGCATAATATAGAACGAGAAATAACCATGGACATGGCAACAAAACAAGACAGTAACATTCAGTTGACTAAATACAAGATAAAAATTCACAATTTTTCAATAGTTGGGAGTCCCTTATCTTCAGCAGCTACAGATTATTCTGGTAAGCATATAGCATCTTTCCCAGCTAGGTTTGCCAAAGTAATTACTTGTCCTCTTAATTTCATATGTTTATATTTTGTTGTTTGATAGTTATAGAATAGAATTCTTTGTTCGCCAAGTGTGATTGGACACACAAGGAATTTGTCTTGGTGTATATGCACTCAGTGTACATAATAGAAAATATACATTCATCAATAATCATAAGGTTCAACCCTTAATAATAGTCATAGGGTACAACAAGCAATCAAATCATACTAGGAAACAGTCAATTTAAAAAATCACAAGGATACCAGCAACAAAATTACAGTCATAGTGGGAGGAGATGGGTGAAAGGAAGGATGGGAAGACTAATAGTAATAGTAATGCAGACTTAATAAATAGTTTGACAGTATTAAGGGAATTATTTATTTAGCAAAGTGGCTGTGCTTGGTAAAGAAGCACAGGGTAAAGAACTTGAAGTAGCCTTACAAACACACAAACACACAGAAAAATGCTATTTTATACAGGAAAGTAACAAAAAATGAAGTACTCCACTTATACCTGTTGCAGTAATCCACAATATCACTGTTTGGGTATAGGCCATGGATTATATTTGTTGTTGCCCACTATTTATGTTTCAGTCTTCTGCTAGAATTTATTTCAGCCGATTTAGTTGGAAAAGAGAGATAGATGCTGCATCCATATAGTGAATATATGTGCCAAATGGTAAAAATCAGGGTTTGTTTGTTTTTAAACTAAATCATATAACTTGTAATGCTGGGCATACAGACACCTGAGATATGATGCATCATCCCCCTTTCTCAGGCTTTTCTCCTATGATCTCCATTGTAATTATCCAAAGTCCTGTAGACAGCTTATTATAAACACTCACCATTTTATTCCATTAGGGGAAAAGTCTTATCATGGATTTATACAGGGGAGAGGGGGATTACCAAGGCGTCTCTGACTTTTTTCTGTAACTTATTCAAGCAGGGAGGTATGCTAAAGAACACCTTTCATGATGAAGGTGCTGATTTGGTAAAGAAAGTTGAGCCTTTATATCAGGGTTAAGGGTTCACTGGGGGTGAAAGACATAAAAAGAAATACAGGTTATCCTCTACAACAATTTGTTTAGAAACTGAAGTTAGAATGGCACTGAATGAAATGACTTATGACTGTTTTTCACACTTATGACTGTTGCAGCATTCCATGGTCATATGACCAAAATCTGGGCGCTTGGCACCTGGCATGTATCTGTTGCATTGTTCCGGGGTCATGTGATCACCATTTGTAACCTTTCCAGTCAGCTGCTAACAAACAAATTCATTGGGGGAAGCTGGATTCACTTAAAAATTATGTGATTCACTTAACAACTTCAGTGATACACTTAATAACTGACAAAGGTCTTAAGTGGGGCAGAACTCACTTAACAACTGCTTTGCTTAACGGTGGAAATTTTGGGCTCAATTGCTCAATCAAATACGTTTTTCTTATTGGTTGTTCCTCCAGATAGGATTATACCCACATGCCCAACAAGACAAGTTACCAGTAGCTCAGGCTATTTCATAAAATCTAGAATCCTAACCCAATTGTTTACATTTGCTGCTTTCCTTACATAGTCGGTTTGGTTATCTTGGAGATCTTGGTGTAGAATGGGCAACACCAGTTGAATCAGCTAATGCCAACTCTTGTAGGCCATGTCAGGTTTGTATCACAAAATCTTAAATCGCTTTAACAATAATAGTAACAAGGTGCAGAAGGAGAAGCACACAATTCTAATTCTGTTAGAATGTGACAGAGAAATTCCATGCACCTGAAAATTTACTATCCAGACAAGCCAGAAATTCATGAAGATCTTGCTTGAAGAAATTGGTACCATTGTTATTGGGAGAGTTGTAGCATTTCAACAATCTAGATGTAAACTCAAAAGAATATAGGAGCCAACTTTTTTGGAGATAGGGCAAGTTTGTGTCAGATTATTTAACAAGTGGCCACAAAGATAACAATAAGTATTGTCATTAAAATGTATGTGTAAAAGTATCCTGCTATCTAAAAATCTCAAACCAATATAAAATCTGCTTCAGATAATTCAAAAGCAGAAGTTTAGCTTGGCTATATATTCCTTAAAGGACTAGTGATGAAGAACTCAGTGTCTCCAATAAGAGTCAACATATTTGTAAGATTAATGTTCTTTCATTAATTCATGAATTCCCTAAATGTGATAATTTTTTTGTAAACTCAGAAATAAATATGTTTTCTATTTAAACAGCCACACGATGGCAGTATTTTATGGCAAGACATTTTCTACTGCAGTATGTAGTTTGCAGAAAGTGTTATTTGTTACTTAGAAGTTCAGGAAACCATTCAGATATTTATGAAAATTTAACAATAAAAGACTGGAAAAAAAGTGACTGTGTTCTTTTTATGCTTTGAAGGTCACATTTTTTTCAGAAAGATGCCCCTTTTACAATGGTTAGCTTTGACTAATTTCTTTATTCCCATTAAGTGTTATATCCTATATCTTAATGCATTTCTGTTAGACTAATTTTTTAAAGTTTGGATTCATATCCATAAAATAATTTTGTTTGGTTTAATTACAAAATTTAAATACACTTGACAATTTATAAATTAATTTTCTGTCAAATTATAAAATAGTCTGTGGCTTGCACTTTATGACCTCTGGATAGTTACATTTCTTTCTCATCCTGAAGTTAAAATTTATCACTTGATGAACCTTTACTGATAAGCAGCTAAGCAAGTGTCATTTCTCTGAAAATTGCCTGTTGGCTCTGTATCCCAAAATAGAAATTTAAATCTAGACTTGTTTTCTGTATAGCAGAAGCTGACTGACCAGATTTTACTATTTAGATTCATTTATAAAGAAAGCTGCCAGAGACAGATTTTATGGACATAGTAATAAGGTTAATATGTCAGAACAAAAAAAAGTTTATAAATTTCGGAAGAACAAGCGTACAGAAGTTCAAATCAAAATTAAAAAGCATGGTAATTATGGCAAAACTGAAATTGGGAATATCAATAAATATTTATATTTAATTTTTCTTCTCCACTTGTTTGGGGGAAACATTTTTCTCATTTTGAGAATGGGAAAATGTATAATCATAAGCATGATCCAGCATATAAATGTAAAGGAATTCTTCACAGGGACTTGTTCATAGCACAAGGAATTGCCCATCCATAAACAATCTGCAATTTGCATTTTTATTAGTTTTAAAAAACTATTGATGGTTTTTCAACCATAACAAAGGGACAGTTGACTTTAAAAAACATTTATATAAATGGGTTTTTCTTTTACATTTGTAGGAATAAACAAATGAGATAAACCTATTTGAAGATCTGCTAATATTTAATCAGTTGCTTATATCCTAAAGCATAAAATTTGTGCACACTGATGTCGCTAACTAATTAGTGCCATATATTTAAAAGAAAATATGAATTATTTATTTATTTAATATTGAAATTATAAATACATGGCAAGAAAATTGCTGTAATGGGAAAGGCATTTCCTGTTTTATGTAAGATAGTACCTGCTGTGAAGTATAAAATCCTTAAATGCACATTTTTGCTGATTTCATTAATTA